AGGTAAAAACAAAACAGATATTTTTAGTAACGGCTATCATTACAACAACGGATGTTTATTTATAACAAATCAAAACGGCTTAATGAACCCTACTTATGTATACACAAGTAGTCTTAGAGTGAAAATCGATAGTTAAAAACGGTATAAGAATATTCATGTAAATTGTAAATGATGGTACAAAATTAAAAGACTGACTAATGTATGTGATAATATTGAATAATAATTATTATAGGTTCATTATGATCTCATGTAACATAATAGGGTTTAAAATGTTTAATAGTGTTTTCCTAAATAAAATTTGAGTTAGCTATTTATCAACATCACCATTGTTTCGTAAAGACCATATTAGTTTTTTTGTTTTTTTAAGATTCGAGAAAATAAACGAAGACTTTTGATCTATATCATTTAGTTTTATTTCCCAACTTTGCATTATACTATTTTTAAACCAAACCAATTTCGAAAATTTGAATAGTAATTTTGTCCTGCCAATCAGATCCCAACAAAACACAGACAGTAAAAGTTAATTACATCAATGAGCAGGAAGCGTCTCCCCACCCCTATCTGTGGGGGTGTATAGGGGGGGGAGGGGGGAGGAAGCAATAACACAACCCTTCCTCTGCGCCACACATATTACCCTTGCTGTTGTGCCACTTTAATAGTTGTTGTAAAATTTGGATGTTATAATTCAGTTTATCTGTTATGGCGAACGACTGACGCATCCATCACGTGAAACCTACCTTGCTATTTGGGCTTTTGGCAAATTTCTAAGTTTGAAGATATATTTAACTGTGTTCAAAATATATATTTAGAATTTGTTAACAATGCCAAAGAAGATATATAAATTACAGTAAATGTACAGTGAAGTGATTTATTAACAGAGTTAGGATGTTACAAAATATTGGATTTAAAAAATGCAAAGGTAAATGTAAATATTATTTATTTATTTCCTATTGGAAGGAACAAACAAATGCAAAATTTTCATAATTCATAGTTCAAGTCTATTATGAACTATAATGCCTATTACTGTATGACTTATATTATTGTTCATATTTCAAGAATATTATTAAATATTTTATATTTTATTATTAAATTAAACCGTTTAGTTTTTCGACGCTCATACAATTGCTGTATGAGTTTTAATCAAAATAAAACGGTACAAACATCATAGGGGTGTTACCAAGGATTTTAAATCGTCTACAGTGATGCATTAAACAATTTAATACTTTTCTGATTCTTTAACTAACTTCATTATAAGTCTTTTGAACTGTAATCACATCTGAAACCTAATTTCAAACCTTTCTTGGCATAAAGCCAATGGTTTACTTTCAACGGATTATTCTAAATCTTCGAGTCTGGGAATACACCATGTGCTGTCTTATTTACAATAAATTCCCAATAACTATAACTTAAATATAACTATGCAACAACGCAAATCAGCTAAACGGCAATGAAGTAAAGAAGGGATACAAATATATCAATATGTTTTGTCATTAAAACATGTCTTAGAGTACTTTAACTTTGAGTTGCGCGTAAAGAAAAAACAACCTGTATCATTTTAGCTTTATTTAATCTTAGATTATCAATTAAAATGATGATACGACCTACCAAAAAAACCAACAATTGATTTAACAGCAATGCCTTTTTGTAAATCCAAAATTTTTATTCAGATAAATAGATACTGTTATTGGTATATCATCAACATAAAGTCATAGCAACTGACCAAAGTAAGTTATCACGGTTGGGGTTGGCTTTTGACACAAGACTGGAGACTTGTATTTTAGATCGGGTTCTACGTGATGACCATCAAACACCATGGCCAGGAGCCATATCATCCCAGATTGATATTGCTATGATCATTCATGTTATATCACAGAGTGGACTACGATGACAAGAGCCAGCTTGTATTACAAAGCAAATCACAACTGTTCTTGTCTACGTCTACTTGTGAGTAAACTTTGTGGTGTGCTGTGTAGAATTAGACGATTGCCTGAATCCAACTGTAATTAACAGTTTATTGTTTATTCCATTTATTTGTAATAAGTGTGTAATGCTAAAAACTGTAATATAATCAAGTGTTTGTAACGTTGTATAAGTTATTAAATTCTACGGAAAAGTGTATTTGTGTATGTTTATTGTGAAGGTGTAGTAACGAAGGTGCGTCAAAATAACCTTTTTCACCACACTATCATGTTTTTGGCTGTATTACATACGTTAATTGGTGGCCGAAAGTTACGTTTTGCTGGCGATGCCAGCTGTCCATAATTTGGGGACCGAGCAGGTTTTTACAGGCCGGGGCCGCAAAATCAGCTGTCCGCTTACTTACTTAAAACATGAATGCATTTTAAATACATAATCAAAATCCATAGCATTTCAATAGAATTGTGTTATTGTCACTGTTGCCTAGCAACTATATATTTTTATTTTTGCTGATTCCTCAAATTATTTCTTCACATAACCTTAAAGTTGTAGTTGTGTTGACTATCAGTGTGCATTATTATTGTGGTGAATAGTGGTAATAGGGTATAGTGTGTTGAAAAATAGCGTTCGTACCACGGACCGAAATGGTTTTGCGGCTCTCGATCGATTTAAGTTCTCGACTTCGTCTCGAACTTAAAAACTATCTCGAGCCGGCAAAACCTCATTTTCGGCCCTAGGTACGAAATATACTATTACCTACGACCGTTTTTTAAAGTAGCCATTTCAGTTCAGTTCTTAGAGTTGAAAAGTTTCACTTAACAGCTGTTTACTTTCATATCAGCATTATTTCATTTCATATCAGCATAGTTTTTCTCATATCAACACGGGTAACAGACCAATGAGGTTGAAGGATTGAGAGAAAAGAAGTACAATTGTAATACTTCGAACGTCAACTAATCAGCTGATGAGCTGATCAGTTGACGATTTTAATTGTTGATCCGGCTTGTTCCTGTTGATACTCGCGTATTCTTAACCTAAGTTGGTGGAAGTTAAATGAAGGTTCATTTTAAAATATCAGTTAGTGAAAGTGATGTTGACGAGATAGAAATGAGAGCACAAACTGTTTGTGCTAATCTTTTTCCACCAAAATCAAGACAAAGGTACCATATGCAATTACATACCAGCAATTCATTAAATGGACGAAACAAAATAAGGTTTAATTGATAAATGAAAATGTTCATCTGGTTTGTTTTGAAAACCTCTTAACCACTTTTTCACCCAACTCGTTGTGGACCACATACATATTCGATGCTGAGATCTAACTGTAAATTAACTGTTTCACTATATTATTCAGTTGTCCAAAAATATATGCAATATTTCCCTAATTGTACCTGATACAGTATTTATGGTAAGAATGCTGCTAGCAGAACCTATTGCCTGAAAAAGTAACTTATTATTTAACAAAGTTTTACAAACACGTAATTACATGAAATCAGCTAATTATACAATAAGTCGTTGCATCACTTACAGTGACAATGACAATAATAAACGAAAACATAACCTCTCTAGGAAGCTATGAGTAGTGATTGTTAGTAATAAAAAACCAGATTTTTGGTAATTAAAAAACTGTCGTAGGTAAAGTAATGTACGCAACTCGCGTTAATAGTCTTTACGACACTCGTAGAAGTTTTTAAGGCACTCACCAAGGCTCGTGCCTTAAATTTTCTACTCGTGTCGTAAAGACTAACTTAACGCAATCGTTGCGTAAACTACTATTTCCGATGTCAAGTTATTGTATATACTACATTTAGTAAAATATTTGTGGTTTGTGACTTAATCAACTAAATGATTTTTTGGTTATCATGGACGTATTGCAATTTTTTTTAAACATACATATATTTTAAATTAAATATAAACAATAATAAGTGTTTTTGATGTTCTAATTTTGAAAACAATATCAATACTTTCTTACTATTAAAGCTTGAATAGGAAATCATTCTTACATTTAATTTTGTCAAGCCAAGGAGTCTAGCTTCAAAAAAATTGTAGTAGTTGCTAGATGCTATTACTTGACAAATCGATACAGATATGAGTGCTTCGGAAAGTAGAGTACCCACCTTCCAAATTCGAACAAGTAAATATATTGTAATGGTAGGACGTTTTGGGGAAAATTTTAATTCAATAAAAATTTCAAAATTCATATTGTAAATGATTTTCAATCAATCAAACAATTGTAGAAGTATCAGTTACAGCAGTTAGTTGAGTAAAGTAGATTGCTGAGTGTAAGCAGTTTTGTGCTGCTTCTTGCATTCAGTAGGTTCAATACCCAACAAATTGCTGATCATGGCCTTACCCTCTCTCTTTGTAACAAAATTGTGAAGTACCATCGGTGGTAGACCTTTCACCAATAGCCCACTCTTCCTTAGGAACCAGCGCCGGCTGGCCAAGAAAAGGCCGTTATACTCTTTTAATATTTTTGGACTTAGAGCACAGATAGTTTTGAAATACTTATAAAGTCACTTAATACTTTTCATATTAAATTCATAAATTTCATTACATACATTTATTTAAAACAATATATATATATTTACCAATTTCTATTGCCTCTTTGGTTGAATAGTTATTTTGAGATTAATAACATAAACAATTATATTTGATTGAAAATCATTATTTTGTCATTTAGTATTTGCCATTCATTGTTCTTGATATAATATTTATATTCTATTTTTCCCTGTATCTCTGTAATTATAAATACTACTTGTGTTGACAATATAATATAGAAATTTGTATAACCGAATCTCGAGTACCTTTCTTTGTGCTCACTGCCAAGCGAGCTCACCCCCCACAATATATTATATAATAATAAACATCATTTAAAAGAAGTAACACATAAAAACCAACCGTTACAATATCTTATTAAGTAATAACGTAGGAAAATGACGTGAGGGATTGTTGCAGGATCCGTGTGTCCGTTGTATGAATTAATTATATGTATATCATTATATTTCAGGTATAGAAATTTGAACGTTGTAAAAAGATCATACCATTTTTTAGGATGTATTTCTTGTTACAGATTAAAGGAATAGCATATTCTAGTAATGGTGATGTCCGTTAGTCTTGTGAAGAGCCTGCAGATGGTGTTCTCTGGCGGCAGCGACCTCATGAGTGTCTGCCAGGTATCCGGACTTGAGCACCACGGGCTTGGCGAGGGGTCCGTGGTAAGGCGTCACATGATGGGAGTGTCCATGGTCGGCACCGTAGCCTGAGCCGTATCTGCCACTGTAGTGGTCACCGTAGCCTCCGTGAGCCTCGGCTTTGGCTACGGCGGCGAAATGCTCAGCCTTAGCAGCGGCCACCTCGTGAGTGTCTGCGATGTGTCCGTCATGCAGGACGTGTGGGATGGCGGTGGGTCCGTGGTACCTGATGTCTCCATGATGGCTGTCATAAGAGCCACTGTATTCCTGGCCGTGACCGTATCCATAGTTTGATTCCTTGGCTAGAGCGGCTAGATGAGCGTTCTTGGCTGCTGCTACCTCATGGGTGTCTGCAAGGTAGCCGTTGTGGAGGACGACAGGCTTGGCGGTGGGTCCGTGGTAGTAGCTGCAGTACACACTCTGGGCGTACAAGGCAGCAACCAAGATGAAAATCTGTAAAGACGCGTTTTTTGTGAGGTGTAATTCTACACTTCGTTTGCCGGATTTTTAACTAAATTATTAGCAACTATTAAGTAGCCTACATTTATAAAAATTGATTTGTGGATCATTCTATAGTTTTCATGCTAAGGAAATCAGTATAATTGCATTACATACTAAATGTATCATAAAAAATTAAATAGATTGTATAATGTCCTTAACGATTTAAAATATTTATATAAAATATAGACGAACTCTTTTTGAATAGTAAGACCCGCCGAATATTTTCATCTACATATTACAAGGTATTTTAATTTGATAAACAAACTGCTTATTTTTTTATTTTAATAACACGAATAACGTTTTTTTTTTACATTTAAGCACTAATATAATCACAATAGTGATTCAATACTATATTGATCAATAAACGACAACAAACTAAAACAGTTAAAATGTCTACCTGACAAAACCTTGTGTAGTGTGTACTCACCGGAGCGTTCATGATTGATGTGTCTGTGTCTATGTCTGTGCTACAGTCCTGCTAAGGGCTTTATATACTGCACCACTGTACACTGATAATTACTCTATGTTCATGTGCTGTGTGAGGAAACATCCTGCATGCCTAAACCTGTTGTCACAGCCGCAGCTGATGCCAGATATTCGGAACAGTGTTACATGTTTAATATGTCTACTTAGAGCAGGGTATTTACTCAGGGGAGGTATAGAAGAGGCTACGATGACAGCTGTGGGCTTCTTATTAGCTGAGGGAACGCCATTACCGTAACAAAACGATCAGCAGTCATCGGCCTCGGTGGTCTAATGGTTAGCGTGCCGGGCTGATATGCCGAAGGTCCCGGGTTCAAATCCCGCTCGTGGAATTAACTTTTTGTCCAAGATTTTTTTATTATCAGCAAGTTTGGTTGGTTTGGTTCGGTTATGACAGTTTAATTTTATTATTTAAGTCATTATAAAATTTTAGTAGAGCAATTTCTAGTTTTATTTAATAAACAGAATTATTTTTTCTATTAATAAACTTTTGTTATATTATTTCATTATCAGCAAGTTTGGTTAGTTCGGTTAGGTTATGATAGTTTAATTTTATAATTAAAAAAATAATAAAATTGAATTTGAGGCATTTATAATTTTATTTTATGAACAGAACTATTTTTGCGATTAGTAAACCTTCTTTGCCAAAGTACTCTCTACTACAGCGCTGTTCACGGAGGAATTTTGAACTAATGCCTCATTCGTACCTCCCCTAAGTCAGACCCCTTAGAGCAGAGGTCCTAATACAAATTTGAAACCAAAAACAATAAACAGAAAAGTGACAGGTTCATTTTAATTCATTAATTTTATACATTAAATTATTAACGCATATGTTAGAGCATTACTCCACGTGATTTTTTTCCTTAAAAAATCACAAGTATACAAAATAATGTTGTAACTTAAACGAACATTTCTACGTACTTCAGACTTAAGTTTGCTCATTTCCGTGTTTCTAATAGGTGTTCTTTACTCTATGGATACTAAAAGAACACCTGCTGACATGGTTGATATTAAACAATTTGATTTTTTAATAACACCATGGATTGATAAATTTAGTGAAAATTAAAGCATACCATAAAAAGACAAACTAAATTTGGTCAAACGAACCTCTAAGCAATATTTTTTTATAAATGTAGTTTTCTATTATTATTTTCAATAATTAACAATTTCGTGTGACATGAAACATGCTATAGACTGAAAATGAAGTGTTTCTTTAAGCTTGGGTTGCATGAAAAGTTTGCAGATTCGACATAAACCAGCAATTGACATAATGCAGACTGTCGTTGGCTAAACCCACTACGTCTCATAGTCACTGTTATGGCTAACTGCTATTGGATACTGATGTAAACATCCCAAATAAATGGACCAGCTGTCACCATTTTTTTTTAGAGAATGTAGTTGAGTGAGCCAGTCACAGAATGCGTTACTATAATTTTTATTTTCTACCTACATTGTTTGTTGCTGATAGTTGATGAATCTTAACAGCTGCTATAGCTCACACTATAAGTCGTTCAATAAGTTTTAATTGGCAACAAAATTTCATGTATTCGACATAAATAAGTAATTTACATCAGCACAATCCATCGGTGACTCACATTAAGGACGATTTCGATTTAAAAACTGGTGACAACTGTAACATGGGGATGGAATGTTTAGTTGTATCAATAGTCAAAGCTTTAACATAGTGATAGGACGTCTAGTGATATTAGTCAAAGGTACTACATTCGACTACAGTTGTGTATAGTTCCTCGTTCCCCCTGGTCATCCCAACCCCTACAACCCTGCAGCTATACAGTGGCAGTGGCGTGTGTCAGGACTGGGGGGTTGGTGTCTGATGGCTCACCGACCAATGCCACGCTGACTCTCACGTCGTTAATGTTTTATTGCCTCCACAGCCTCCTGCGTCTTCGTCCACGTCAATAACACACCATCATAACACGTTCTGAAATTGATAAATTGTCTGAGTAGCTGAATGGTTACAATGCTCGCCTTCAAATCTGAAGGTCAATGGTTCTATTTAAAGTGATATCGATTATGGACCGAGATGCTGTTTGTGCAATCAATTGTTGTTGCTAGCTAACAAAGAAACGGTATCAGAAATCAGAAATCCTATTAGCTTCTCAACAACCTATACATGGTTAGGCGGTAAGAGTAACAATGATATTTTATGGCGTATATGGCAAAAGCTACAATACTTTTTGAACAATTTTACAAAAATTTTGATTTTAGGCTACCATTAGGTTTATAATAAAAATTACTATTACCTACTAAATTAAAATTAAAATCAGTAGAGCCATTTATTCAAATCCCGGCTTTCTGTATTTTTTGGTTTGTTTTTTCTTAGGAGAACTGAGAAACGACTTAAAATTAAATAATATTTTTTTTACTGTAATGTTTACAGCAATATGTGTTATACAGTTTTGTTTGAGCCAACATACCAAATTCCAATAAAATTATACTATTATAGGTTTGGTAGGTATGTATCTCTGTACACTGACAGACAGCAATCAGCAAAACGCCATTCGCACGATACATAATTTAGGCGTTGTGATAGTATGTTGGACTTGTTTCTTGGAAATAGTTTATTAATACAGTATTTACCATCTAACCGGTTACATGTGCATAGCTCACATCAGAATAAAGCATCATTAATTAATGGCCAAATAACAAATTACATCAGGAAATGGTAACGATCTCGCTTGGAATTCAACCAGTGATAAATACTATAACCACTCAGCTACCCAGACAATTTTATTATGGCGATAAATTAATGATTAAAACAAAGAGTAGCGATTATAGTTTAGTTAGTTAACCAGTTAGCTTTAATATATCGTTTTAAAAAGATAAAATATACAAATTTGCCAAATCATGCTTGCTATAAACCTTGGAACATAAAGAAACCGCTGTTTTATTCATGTAAAAAATTAAATATATTGAATTTAAACTATGTATTTATTAAAGCATAAAATCAAATCTTGACGTGTATTCAGCCCAATCGAGTGTTAGGTTGCATTAGGACAAGGTGTAATTGGGCATTCAAAGTCCCTGTAATCCACATAACTTCACGCAACACCTTCTTTGTAATCACCTGAATACCAACACAAACACTATAAATGCAGCAATAACACTTGTCTCTACACAGTACCATCCTTTGAAACGTACCAACATGTTCACACAGGCAAGTACTTGTCTTTTCACTGTTTCATATGATTAATATCCTTAACAATAAAATGTATTATATCGGGTACTGATAATATGTATGGTTTTAATTAATTGAATTTAATCATTTTGAACATAAAAAACGTCGTTAACAATCATCATTTCAGGATTTTAAAGTATAAATAAATAAACAAGATCATTAAATAATTCTCTTAATATTTGTTAAATAAATAATCTTGTCTTAATAAATTTCTTACTATTTTACAGAGAGTATTAGATAATAAGTTATTTATTAAGATCTTCCCTGGGATTTTGTAAAACACTGAAAAGTTTTTCAAATTTTTTTATTGTAGGCCTATTGTTGGTAAATGTATTTTCACCACATTACGAGGTTTTTAGCTCTTTTCAAAAATGTTTACTGGCCGAAAGCTACGTACTGCTGTCCATTCCAGATTCCAACTGTCATCATTATTTGGGGACCAATTAGGTTTTTACATTCCCTAGAGCCAAACAGCAGTTCGCTTAATTTTTATGCATACAAACACACAATCAGTATTCATAGCATTACAATAGATTTGTTTTATTGTTACAGCTGCCTAGCCACTGTTTAATATTTCTTTTGCTGATTACTTAAAAATTATTTCTTCACATAACCTTAAAGTTGTAGTTGTGTTGACTGTTAGTGTGTAATTATTGTGGTGACAAATAGCGTTCGTACCACGGACCGAAATGGTTTTGCAGCTTTTGATAGTTTTTTTTGTTTTTTTTATATCGACTTTGTCTTAAATTTAAATAAATCTTGACCCGGCAAACCCTCATTTTCGGCCCTAGGTGCGAATTATTCTTTTTCAGTACTCAAATATCATGAGTCAATTGCATGGGATGTTCAAACTATGCTGAAATGAGCCACTTGAAAGTAGTGTATTTATAATTTTTCATGTACATGCAAATATTGATAAATAATATAGAAGAAATGAAAGAATATTAAAATCATAGAAAATATAACAAGGATAATAAAGAATAAAAAACCATGATTTTATTTTTTTTTATTTAGGTTAAACTGCTATGTTTCGCTGCCTTGTACACCCAGATTGTGAACTGCAACTACTACCACGGACCCACCGCCAAACCTGTCGTCCTCCACAACGGCTACCTGGCAGACACCCATGAGGTAGCAGCAGCCAAGAACGCTCATCTCGCCGCTCTAGCCAAGGAATCTCACTACGGAGGAGACTACGGATACGGTCATGGCCAGGAATACAGTGGCTCCTATGACGGCCATCATGGAGGCATCAGGTACCACGGACCCACCGCCATCCCACACGTCCTGCATGACGGACACATCGCAGACACTCATGAGGTGGCCGCTGCTAAGGCTGAGCATTTCGCCGCCGTAGCCAAGGCCAAGGCTCACGGAGGCTACGGTGACCACTACAGTGGCAGATACGCCTCAGACTACGGCACCGACCATGGACACTCCCATCATGTGGTGTCTTACCACGGACCCCTCGCCAAGCCCGTGGTGCTCAAGTCCGGATACCTGGCAGACACTCACGAGGTCGCTGCCGCCAGGGAACATCACCTGCAGACTGTGTATAAGAATAACGGACATTATCACTATTAGCATGTTTCTCGTACTGAAGTAATAAATAAAAATAAAAAAAATATCTGTACACTATATTCATTGTAAAATCAACCGGTTTCCTTTGTCCTAAGTACCTGTTTATATCTTCATATAAACTAAAATGTTATTCTACATTAAGATAAATATCGTCGGGAACAAAGTCATCTGACAGGAATTTATGAG